TAAAAAATAATTATAATTTTATTTTTATTTTTATTTTTTAAAATATAAATTTATATTTAATTATAAAAATATTGTTTATATTTTTAAACAAAAATAAATTAATTATATATAAATATTGTTAAGTTTTATATTTTCTATATGCAAATGCTCTCCCAAAATCTCTATATGAGAGCATTGAGCAAAGAGCATTTGGAGAGCATTTGCATTTGGTAAATGCTTTTCTAAATGCTTCTTTGCCAAATGTTGATTGGATAATAGAGAGCATAATGCTTATGCTAATGCTCTACCAATCAACCCCTAGATTTGACCCAAGTCAAAGTACACAATATTACACCATCTAATTTCTATACTAATATCTTTAATCTTTATTTTTTACATGACAATTAACTATAGGATTTTAAGCACTAAAGTATATATATTTTGAAATTAAGTCCATAAATTTTAAAATGTAAACAATATTTCGTATAATATTGGAATATTAGTATTTTAAAAAAAAAATTGTAAGAAATACCAGTACTAATATCTGAGAATATTAGTTCTAATCGAAAATTTCTATCCAAAATAAAAAAAATTACGTTATAGCACAAAATTTGTTAAACAATAATGATCACTAACAAACAAAACCAACTATAATAGTATAGATACATACCAATCACAACATTATATAATTCTATGTATAAATCAAACTAAATTAAGAGCATCTCTAACCCAAAATCTAATTTTAAGGGGAATAAAACTTCAAAATGAAGATTTAAAGTTGAGTTTCTCTAACCATAAATACTCCCAAAAAAAAGTTTATATATTTGCATTATAGTCCTTAACATTACCAAAAATTACTAATAATAATAAAACTTTACCAATACATATAAACATATATTAATATATTATACAACACACAATATTATAATATTATATAATAAATGATAATATAAATTACATCTATAAAAAAACAATACACATACACACAAATTTTAGAAAGTTACATATAAAATACCAAATCATTCAAGTATTATTTATGTAATGCTCTCATATGTGTTTATGTAATTTTTTTTAATTTGTGTTAAGTTTTTAATGTATTTTTATTTTTTCTGAGCTTTATTTAATATATTTTTCTATTGTATGAATTATTTTAATGTTATGTGATATTTATCATATTTTAGTTTATTTTGGTGTACTTAATTGAATTCAGATTAAGTTTTAGTATATGTATTTATGAAAAGTAATAATTGTAAGGACCAAAGAAATACAAAATAGTTTTGAGATTTTGAATAGTGAAACTTTAATTTAGAACGTCAAAATTTAAGGATTTGAAGTTGGATTGGAATTACACAAAACTTCAAAATTTAGAGATTTGAGGTTGGGTTGACGATGCTCTAAATGATACAATAAAAATAACGACCAAATATTTATATTTTATAAAATAATTAATCTCGCGCTTTTAAAACACATATCAAAATCTAATTATATATGACAAGAATATTTTTACGACGATGTGTTCTGATCACAGATTGTAGATATGCTAGCTATTAATGTAACCCATTAATGTTAAATACGCAAATGGAAACTTTAAGCTAATATTATATAATATCTCCTATATATTAATTAAGAAGCATTACATGCTTTGTTAGTCATATGTCATCATGAGAATGTTTCTCAAATATACTAAAATATTGGTCCATATAAACATATAATATACGTTTTACTAAAATAAGCATAAAATTATTATTAATGTTAATCATTATTTTCTTAAATAAAATTTACGGAATTACCTAATATGGTTATAATATATATATATATATGACAATTAATGATTTGAATATAAAATATTCGATAAAAATTGTATAGCCTCTACTCTTTTTGTTAAATGGATAATCCCTAATATATTAATTGAGAAGCACTACAACATGTTTTGGTAGCCACATAAAATCATGAGATGCTTCTCAAATTTATTAGAGAAAAATGTTGATCCATATAAACATATAATATATTTTTTACTAAACTAAGCATCAAACTATTATTAATGCTAATCATTATTTCTTTGAATAAAATTTACTGAATTACCTAATATGGTTATAATATATATGTATATATATGAAAATTAATAATTTGAATATAAAGGATTTGACAAAAAATTGTATAGTCTCTACTCTTTTTGTTAAATTTATATTTTGAAAATAAATTTAAAATAACATTAACTATATGAAAAAATTAGATTTTTTTATATATGTTATATTTTGAATTTTTAAAAACGACTATAAATTAATAAAAACTTAAAAATTTCACATATAGTATTTTTTATTAATAGTTTTATTATAGCACGATACAAACAATTATATAATTAATGAGTAAGAAATATCATTTAATGGATATTTCAATTATATATATATATATATATATATATTAGTGATGTTTAAATTAAACTAAATACCATTTAAAAATACATCAATATTTAATTCCAAAATTGCATTGAACAAGTAATGAGAACTTAATACTTTAATGACAAACTTTGAATTTATTTTTTTTCAAACGATGATAAATTACTGTAAATATTTAATCTCTCACATTAAAAATGATGTTATTAATATTTTAAATTTTTTATTATGAAATTATACAAATGATATATATATATATATATAAATTAAAGGTATAATATATATATATATATGTTAATATCATTTTTTAATTAGATTTACTTATATAAAGTGATTGTATATAAATAAATATGATTATTTTATTTAAGTGCTCGCTAAATTAATTGTATATATAATAGTTACAGATTTTTCAATTATTCAATATATATATATATATATATATTTATTTATTTTATAATATCTAAAAAACACAAAATAAAAAATAAGATATAAAATAATTTTCATATATAATTTTCATTCCGCGCATTTACGGTGAAGATGATATGTTCTCATCACAAATTGTAGATATGCTAACTATTAGCCCATTAATGTTATATATGCAAATGAAAACTTAGGCTAATATTTTATAACTAACATTCATGCATCTACAAAAATGGCATTTTTTCATTTTATTACTGTATTAAATTATATTTTTAATATCTTTCTACCAGTTTAGCTGCACGCCTAGAACCTTTCATATCCAAAGAACAACTTGGAAATAATGTTTAAAAAGAAAAAGAAAAGGTCCAACTCCAAAAGAGGTGAATCATATATGAGGTTATTTAGTTTCATAGTCGTGTTTACCCTTGTGCAAAAAAGGACCACCGCCTCAGCCTCCTTTTAAACATTAAAACTTAGGGGAATATTTTTACAAAATTTATATTGATTGGCTTATGTTTATTGAGGTTCTTGTTAAAACTACTTTTTTGACACAAGTTAAAAATACTTTTATATATATTTTATACATGAGTTCCATAAAAATATTGTCTACTTTTTTTTTGTTCACAAAAGTATTGTCTACTTAATTACTTTCAACATTTACAGAGACAGAAAAATAAAGTTTTGAAACCTTTTGTCAGCATTGTCATTTTTATTTTATTCTTTTCCTACACTATAATTTTTACTCACGAATTTTAAGTGTACTTCATAAAGGTTTCAAATAAAAACCATAGTAAGTTCATATGTATACATAGGAAAATCAAATGAAAATGTTATTATAAAACAAAAGTACATGATATA